GTTGATACTGAATTATCAGTTATATTAATAAATAAGAATAGATTGAACTCATCTATCAGGGGAAGAAATTTTTAATTTGGCTCACAAAGCAGGACCAAACTCACAAAAAGATCCAGAATGACTAAAATAAGGGATGACTAAAAGTATTCTGGACAAATAGAAATAAGATAACAGAGGCTATGGTATGACTATTGGAAAAGAATGAAACAAAACGTACTGAATGTGACAAGAGCCACCATTCATAATGAATAAAAGGTGACTTTAACACAACATTCATTGTGTATAAGACAGATCAAGTGTACAAAAAGTAATAAAAATATAGAAAACATAATCAATAAGGTAGAGATTATGGATATGTACTAAAATTTTACACTATAAATAGAAAATACACCTTATCAAATGCACATGATATATTCACAAAAACTGATCACATAATAAATTTTGAAAATACTGATTGTTTTATAGGAAAAGTCTATGCAATCTTCAAAGAGCAGAGCCACAATGCTATAAACTATCCCTAACGTTCTGGAAGGAATAAAATAAACATATAAATACTCAGTGTATTTAACATTGTGGCTGTTGTGTGGGGGCCACCAACCCAAACAAACCTCTTACGTCATAAACTTTGTTCACTACCGACCAACTTTCCAACTATTAAGACTACCTCAAAATCACTAGCCTGGGTCCCAAAATCCTATACACATCCTCTTTTTACTTCTCCTTTCTGAGAAATTACTAAGACCTAATCAAGGTTGATTTTCACTTACTATAAAATAAGTTAATAAACTTAGTCATACTTAATCAGCAGGTTTTTCTTGCTGATTTTGGGGGAGTGGAAAAGAAGGAAAACTTAACACAGATAAGGATTGGAGAGTATCTCAGAGAATAACACACAGAAATAAGAATATAAGAAGCGGAGAAACTAAGATGGCGGCATAGATAAACACCGGGAAATTGCTGCCTCTCACAACAATTGAAAAATACCTCAAAAATACAAAACGGACATCATCCAGAACTACAGGAAGGCTGGCTAAGTGTAAATTCTACAACTAGAAGGAAAGAAAAGCACACTGAGAGCCA